ATAGCAGCAGTAGCAGGAGTAGAGGCAACAGCAGCAACGGCAGAAGTCGCAGCAGTCGCAGCAGCAAGCAGCAAATAACCATACAACTGGCACTGAATCACTGTTAAGAGTTAAGATTACTGCTCGAGAATTCAATGTCGTCTTTGTGCTCGAGAAGATATTGTCTACCATGGTAGCCCAAGCCCCTTCGAGGATTATTGTGGCATTTCGGTATTGTTAAAAGAAGGGGGTCGATCAAGCAGGCATCAGCTTTACAAGGATTCGAAGGCAAGCCGGACATGCTCCAGTCTTCGAGCCCGGACTAACTGGGATACACGCATTGAGATGTCAACAGGGGGACGTTCCAACATTTATGTTTTTGTAGGGCTGTATGGTTTACGGATGTAGGGTATTGACCTTGCGCAGCAACGTGTTTTCCATTTTATGAAGGCAACTAATTGGGATCGTCGAAGTCCTAGGCAGTAGAATCTCAGTAGAAGACTGCCTCCTGCTGCGGATGGAAATGTCATTCGACGTGCCGGGGCAGCAGATACAGTTTCTTGCTCCTGGAGCCACAGCCATCATGCTGAGACGCTTGCCTTCGAGGCTGACAGCTGAAGCCTTGTTGGGTATAATGAACCAGTATTAGTCGGGCCGGTATGACTTCGTATACGTGCCGCTGGGGAAGACCAAAGCAAAGAATGTGGCTTTGGCCTTCGTGAATTTTACAGATCATGCGGCAGCTATGGCTGCTTATGCATACTTTCAAGGGCATGCACAGCCGATGGACGGTAGGCTAGGAAATCACATCCGTGTGTCTCAAGCAGACATGCAGGGTTTGGGCCTTAACCTGGCCTATTTCATCGCCAGGAATGGCCTTGCAGATCTGCAAAATTCATGTGTGCCACGGGTGTTTGACCATGGGCACCCAGTTGACCTGCTTGAGGCCGCAAGGAAGCACGTGACCATGGGATATCTGGCACAGGCTACAGATTACATGAGCACAGTCGACATCGATCGGGCATGGCAAAAAGTCCGGCTCAACACACAGCGGGCAGCACGGGCAGCTCAGGCTCCGGAGAGGAAGAGGCGGCCTCTTGGTGCCTCGACGAGGGTTCTGAGAGACGTCGGGACCGATCCTGGCGATGGGAGTTCATCGGGTCGGGAGGAGCAGGACGGCTTTTTCGAACATTTCCCGTAGTCCGCTTGGAGCACAAGCCCGATGGCTGGATCTCCTGGACTACGTGTCAGTCACACCTCATCTTTGCTCAAAGCTGGCGTCTTTAAACTCGGCAGCTTCTAGAAGCCGACCGTGTTAGACTCTTAGACTTTACGACACAATAACAATCTGCAGAAGTACCGCAGACCAACATGTCGCACGCTCCACAGGTGTAATTCTTTAGGACTTTAGGTGTTCGTTATCGCAAGTCGACCGCATCCACAACCAGCACTTCCCGATGCCGATGCTAAACAGGCCGTTTGCCCCCAAGCCAGAATTCCAAAGCCTGACCCCACATGCCGAAGAACCCATAGCTGTACAACGACGCACGCTGGCTCTGGGCATCCAAGACGGAATACAAGTTAAATGATTTTGATACTGCTTTCGAAAGTTTTCTTACGGGACTGAGGCTTTAGGGTTGAGTCATGGGAGTTCAGAGAACTTCCTGCCGGGGAGTCGCAATGCTACAGTATTTTCGATTGCCTCCGGGACGCGAGGTTGAGTCAGAACAATGGTCGCTGAGACAACAGCTGCTAGGAAGGGTGCTGCTGCTTGATTACGGTTCCGGCCAGCCCGCGTTCCGGCCAGCCCGCGGTCCGGGTCGCCGCTCCTTTGTGAAGTTAAGGCACGATGCATAGTTTCATGGCTGGCGGGAGTGTCGTGTATGTTGCAAGTAGCAGTGTCAGTTTCAGTATATGTATCCGTATCAGTAGCAGTACAGCAGCAGAAGCAGTACCACAATAGTGGCAGTCGGAGCAGCAGCAGCAGCAGCAGCAGTAGCAGTAGCAGTAGCAGTAGCAGTAG